GCAGGCAGCAGAACACAACACCCAGAGGAGAAGGGAGGAAGGAAAGAAAACCCGACACACATTCTCCAAAAGAATGTGACAGAGAGCAAGGAAGCAGAGGAAAGATTCACACTGATGGATTTCCAACCCAGGGGAATAAACCAGGATGGTTCAACAAACCCAGACGAAACCAGAAGTGCCGTGAGAGGAGGGGGAAGCAGGCACTGTGTACAGCTGCACCAGCTGCCCTGGGAGCCAGAGCGATGGGAAGCCCCGGAGCATCTGTGGGGAGGTGAGTGGTTTGTGTTTGCTGACCCACAGCATCCTGCAGCCCTGGGCCCTTTTTCACACTGGAGCACATCACCCTGAGAGCCCTCGGTGCTGCCATGCACAGGGCAGGCTGGGGAGATTCCTGGGATTCACTATCAGCTATTCGGGATAAACTGCAAGGCAATGTGCAACAGAGGGTGGGAAATTGGTTTTTAGGATGGATTCTTTCTTAAGGAGAAGGTGAAAGGTAAGTGCTTCATAGCAGATTGTGGGTTAACTCTTTACAGCTGATTTTAGGAATTGTTAATGCTGGATCAGTTCATCAGGAACTGGAGTGACAGGACAAGGGGGAACGGGTTCCAAGAAATTCCTCCCTGTGAGGGTGGGGAGGCCCTGGCACAGGCTGCCCCATCCCTGGAAGTGTCCAAGGCCAGGTTGGATGGAGTTTGAAGCAACCTGGGACAGTGGAAGGATGGCACTGGATGGGCTTTAAAGTCCCTTCCAACACAAAGCATTCTTTGATTCTCTGTCAGAGGTGTTTCCAAATGCCTCACAGGGATGTGATGCTGAGTTCAGTGCTTGTGATGGTTTTGGTGCAGTGACAGCAGCTCTGGCTTGCCCTACTTTGTACCCAAACTGGCACTTGCAGCTGCTCTGCACCCACCCTGTCCTGGGTTTCACTGCCCCTCAGGCAGTCACAGGCAGAGCTGGATTCATAATAAATTATCAAATAATCTTCAGTGTGACATCTGAGGCAGACAGATCTTACGTCAGGGAGGGAATTCCACTTGGTGTCATTTAATGTGGTCAGCAGGACAAACCAAGGTTTACAGCTAATTCCAAAATAATGGAAAAATTTCTGCAACTAAACCAGGAAATCACATATAAACTAAAATGTTTGTAAAGCAAAAGATACTTTGCTTCTTCAGCAAGTGAAATTTGCAAGCATTAGTGACAATTTTTCGCATAAATCACCACACTTGTTCCTAGTAGGTGATCATTTAAGACATTGTATGATATTGTAAAGCTCAAAACTCTCAGATATTCTGAACATGAAATATTCAAGAGCAGCGCTTTCAGAGTGCTGCAAGCACAACGCACTGGCTGATTGCAGCAGGAAAATTTAATTTTACATTATCTAAGCAACTGGTAGATAACTTTTTAACCAGCAGGGTGCCGTGCTGGCTCTGTGAAGGCAGAACCCATCCCAAGTGAAGCAGGAACGGTGCTGCTGCATGCGAGGCACCGCCCGCCCGACAGCTGGAATCAATCGCAGCGAGGCACTGAGAAGGAAAAGGACTTCTTCATTTGCAAATTTAATTTCCCCCGAAGCCAGTTAGAGCTATTAGGAGTGAGTGGGCCAGTAGCAGTTCTGGTGGGAGGGGAGGTTTCTCTGCTGCTCTGGGCACTGTGCAACCATTGAAGCTGTGTCAGGAATATGTTGCATTCCCAAGTATCTTATCTGGGTTCTGTTCCTAATAACTCACTCCTTGTTCATTCACTGGTGTTTGCTGGGGCTCTGCTCTTGTTGCTGGGGGGGTTCCCTATTGCAAGGAGGGTATTTTGGCAAAATATTCCTTACCCTGGGCCTTCCTGCTGGCAGGAGATGCCGTGCTGTGATCAGAGAGTTCATCCTGTGCAGAAGCCCAGGGAATCTCAGCTCAGCTGCTGCACTTCCAGGGAACCAGCCCCTCTGTGCCCCAGCCCTGGAGCTAAAGGAGGGCCAGAAGGCACTTGGCTCTTTCTTGTTGAGCTGTAAAGGAGGGCCAGAAGGCACTTGGCTCTTTCTTGTTGAGCTGAGCTGTCAGCCCACGGGGCTGGGACTCTGGGCTTGCCAGGCTGGATGCCCAGCCATGCCTGGGGCTGGAATTCCTGAGGAGGTGCAGATGCTGCTCTTGGAAAGGGGGTTTCCACCCTGGAAGTGGGACTTGTCCCGTGGAGGATGCTGTAGGTCAGCTTTCTCCCAGGAACCAGGTATGGGCTGGCACTTTTCCCAGGAGCTAAGCCAGGCAGGGGGCAGAGGCCATGGACAAACAAAACCATCTGACAAGAGGAAAATGTCCCCTGGGCAGGAAAAACCAGCTTTGGGGCCAAAAAAGCAAAAAAACAAGGGACAAGCAGTGCAAGGAGAGGAGCTCTTGGCACTGCCTGTGTTTTCATGCTTGTGCAGAAGAGACCTTTAGCTGCAGCATGAACTTTGTGCTTCCCTCATGGACACAGGAGCTGCAAGGAGGGTCTGGGGGAGCAGAGATCTGTCCTTGTCATTCAGCCTGAGACAGAACATGTGGGAAAGGAAGATTAGGGCTGCCTGATTGCTGTGAGCCCAGCACAGGACTTTATTTGATTTTTTTTCAGCTTAGTGGAGAGAGCTGGGCCAGGACAGGCAGCACAGGAGTTATTTTAACATTATAAGCAGATTGTCTCCACAAGCAGCATAACATCAGGGATGGCATTTTGCTGCCTTCACTCCCTTGCCTGATGTTCAGTGGTTTCCAGGTTCCTAAGGATGTTAGTTGGATATTGCACAACTGCAGGTTTGAGGATTTATGATTGTCCTGGGAATGTTGGCTTCAGGTAATGGATGCCAAGGTGATGCTGGAGGCTTCTTAATGAAGAAATGTCTTCGTTTGGATGCTGGGGAGGTTTGGAAACTTGAGGCAATTGCTACTCCAGTGGTCCCTGGTGAGCCCTGCTATATGAGAAGTCCATCTGTCTGCTAAATCCATCTCTCTCCAGGGGAAGGGATGTTGTCAGGTTTAATAACAGCAGTTGATAATTCCTGCTGCCTGTGTGGTGTTCCTGGGAAGGGCTGCAGGAAAGGAGAGTGCTGAGATCTGAGGGCAACATCCTGCTCCTGTGTTGTTACCCCATGCAAGAGCCTGATGTAAGAGGAAAACAGCTTGCTGCAACACTCGGCCACATGTCAGCCCAAAGTCCAACACTCCTGCAGCCTGGAATACCAAGAAATCCCAATCAGGATTGCCCTGATCTGCCTGTAACCTGCACTGAACTTCCTTCAGCCACCAATGTCCCAGCCCTGACAGGCAGCAGGAATCAAATGTGGGGCTGGGGCTCTTCTCTGTCACCTCCTGGGCAGCCTCTCGAGTCATTGGGGGTATTTTGCAACTCCTGAAACACAGGAAGAGAGATGAGTGTTGGGGGAGATCCGTGAGGAAGGAAGTCCTCAGGACACTTAAAAAACCCATGTTTTATAAACCCATCTCTGCTGAGATGTCACGGACAGAGGTTTGTTGGGCAGTGCTGGCTGTTGTCACCTCCAGCAGCAGCTGCATTTCCCACAGCAGGCAGGGGAGCCACAGGTGGAGGGGTACAGGTGGCTGGAGCCCACAGCCCTGCCCCTGCTCTGTGCCTGTCACACACCCTGGCCATGGCTCATGTGTTTGGGACATTTCCTCTTTCACAAGAGAGCCAAGGGCAGGGAGGGACAGTGACTTGTTTATTCTGGGGGAAAGGGAACTCTGTCAGCTCAGTGCTCTCCTCCAGCAGAGGGAATTTGTGATCCCATTGCTTGTATGAGGGATCCTGGAAGCTTTTGGGAAGGGGGGTCCTGCTCCATGGGCTTGGGCAGAACATTTTGTAATCCAGGCAGGTTTGGGGTATCCCACAGCTGCCTCTTCACCTCCTCTCTAACCCAGTCCAGAATGACCTTGTTCCCTGAAATCCAAGGCTGCACAACTTGGTTTAAACACCAGTGCAATCCACAGAAAGAAGGGGAGAAAATAACACCTGAAGGACAGGTTATGAAGATGAAGGGGGTTAAATGCATTGAGCTGCAGAACTGCAGAGAAAAACCCAGCTCTTCCTGCTGCAGAGTGCACAGCATCTGCCCTGTGTAAAATCAGGCATTTCCCTCCATCACACCTCTGGTGATGCTAAAAGTATTGATAAAATTAACCTAATCCTGGGTATGGACAGGAGTTCTTAGGCTCTGGTGGTCTCAGTCCTCCATGTCCCCATTCGTTTGTCCAACCTGTACTCTAATATTGATCTCTAATTGAGCTCTAATAATATCTGTTAATCACTCTGACCATGGCACATGGAAGATGGAGGGGAAAACACAACTGCAATGAGCTTTGTAAAGCTGCAATGGGCCAGCTTAAATATAAAACCAGTCTTGTTGTTTTATGTGTTCAAGCAGTTTTGGTGAGGAGTAAATCCTCGAAGAGTGCACTTTGTGTTCCCAGATGAGCTGCACTGAGTCCCTGGTAGGGCCATATCTCCCACCCTCCTCCATCCAGCCATGTCCCAGGGCAGCTGCAGGAGGACAGGCTGTCCTGCAGGGCCTGTCTGCCAGTGGCTGTCCCCATGAGCAGTCCCTTCCAGTGCTGCTGGCCCTGAGCACTGAACCCTGGAGGAGTGCAAGAGCTGCCTCAGGATTTGTACAATTCTCAGCATTGCTGCTTCCCTCTTGTGGCGAGGAACCAGCCTGGGAGACCCGGGTGGTACATCCAGGGTGGCCCTGGGCTGTGGCAAATGGGTCTCAGCCACACGACCGGTGGGACAAAGCCTGGGAAGAGCATGGAAGTTGGCCTCAGCATTTGGGCTGTGGACCTGAAAGCAGCTCTGTGTGGGCTGATTTCATTTAGCTTGCTTCCCTCTAAAGGGAAGGAAGTCTGGGTTGAACTTATTGCTTGTTAAGTCCTCTTCACCTTCACCTTTTGCAGAGCATCTGAAGAAATGAAGAAGGAAGCAGAAGGCTCTCTGTAAGCTCCCAGCTCCAGGTAACCACCATGGATACTTGCAGGATACCTGCAAACACCTCCAAGTGCAGTGGGAACACCATGGAGTGCTTTATGGTGCTCAGCACGCAGGCACAGAAGATAAGCATTGGCATCCTGTGTGGCCTCTTTGGGACAATGTGTGTTTTTGAGAACTCCCTGGTGCTCTACCTGATTTTCTCATCCCCCGGGACCAGGAAGAAACCTTCCTACCTCTTCATCGGCAGCCTGGCCCTGGCTGACATCCTGGCCAGCATCATCTTTGTCTGCAGCTTCGTGAACTTCCACGTGTTCAACGAGGCAGGTTTCTCCAAGGAGGTGTTCCTGCTGCAGCTGGGAGGGGTGAACACGTCCTTCTCGGCCTCCCTCAGCAGCCTGCTGCTCACAGCCCTGGACCGCTACATCTCCATCAGCCGACCCTCGGAGTACAAGCTCCTGATGACCAGGAGAAGAGCCTGGACAGCCCTGGCAGCTCTCTGGGTGACCTGTGCCACCATTGCCTGCCTGCCCCTGCTGGGCTGGAACTGCTGCGTGCTGGATTCCGCCTGCTCCGAGCTGTTCCCCTTTGTGGATGACAATTACCTGTCAGGCTGGATCTGCTTCGTCGTGGTCCTGCTGGGCTGCATCGTCTACGCCTACGCCCACGTGCTCTGGAGGGCTCGCCAGCACGTGGCCTACATGGAGAAGCACCAGGCACAGGCAGGGAAGCAAAACACCCGCATGAGGATGGACGTGATGCTGGCCAAGACCCTGGTCATGGTGCTGGCTGTCCTCATGCTCTGCTGGTCCCCCGTGCTCGTGCTGATGATCTACAGCATCTTCGGCAGGCTGAGCGATCACCTGCGCAAGGTGTTTGCCTTCTGCAGCACCCTCTGCCTGCTCAACTCCATGGTGAACCCCATCATTTACGCCCTGAGGAGCAAGGAGCTGTTCTCCTCTCTGAGGAGGGTGTTCTCCCACTTCAGGAGGCAGCTGAAGGCCGCTGAGGAGAGCCCAGAAGCAGAGAGCACCCACAAGTCCTCCGTGATAGAGACCGTCTGTGAAGACACGCACGCCATGTAGGGAGGCACCTGTGGGAAATCCACCCACTCAGCCTGGAAGGAACAGTCTGGATCACTTTTTATTTTCTTTTCTGATGGGAGTTAAAGGATCAGCTGTGATGTGGAGGCAACTCCTGCTGATGTCACCCTTCGATGCTGGGACATGAAGCACACAGACTTTGCTCTCAGCCACAGGCTGGGATTGTTGGGATGTCCTGCGCAGGGCCAAGACTGGGTGGTCCTTGGGTTGTCCCTTCCAGCTCAGGATATTCCATAATTCTGTGATAATCTCCCACCAGGGGAGGTTCAGGTTAGACATCAGCAGGAATTTCTTCATGGAAAAGGTGGTCAGGCTTTGGAAGGGAGATTTGGAGACGCCATCCCTGCAGGTGTCACCTGGATGTGGCACTCAGTGCTCTGGGCTGGTGACAAAGTGGGGACTGGGCACAGCTTGGACTCAATGGTCTGGGAGGGCTTTTCCAATCTCTCACTTCAGCTTGGCCAGAGCTGGGGCAGACAGGACCTTGCAGGCAGCACATTTCTTCCAGCAGATTTCAGGAGAACTGACTGAACCACACGGGTGTTTTTTGGATATTATGTGACTAAACATATAAGCCATTTCCCAGGTTTTCCTTCCTTTTCTTTCTTGGTGCACAAAG